GACAACATTCAACATACTCTTGTATTTCCTGCAGCAATATCATTGTCTGATATCATTTAGAAACGCTTGTAGTTTGATTTGTTTAGTGTTGAGTACTTATGTGATAACTGTACTTGTCAGGGTATTTACGTATAGTCGATTAATCATCTTTATACATCATGCATACCAATATAATCATAGATCAAGAGCAAGATGAGAGATAACATTGTCAAACGCATTTTAATTATCTGTTGTATTTTAAGTTTATCGGGAAGTTAGACAATCGATTGATGAAACTTACACATGTGACAAAGGATAATAGTTTGTGTAAGTTATAAGATAAAATTTTTCGATCGCTCTCTCATAGCAACATCAGTGAAAGCATAACGATGAGGGTGTAGGTCGATATGAGTCATTGTCGATAAAAAGAAGATGCACACTCACCCACATCCACATCCTAGATTTTGGTTTTATTTCGAAAACAATGATATTCACTTTTTGTATCATATAGTTTAGAAAATGAAAACAGTTCTCTAGACGGTCAAATCTATAGACAATTTTCTCTGTAACAATCAACAATTTTCTTTCTTTCAGTTACATATTTGTCGATTGTGTTGAATTTTTTTGCTATTTGACTTTTTAAAAATAATTTCGTTCAGTTGTTTTCAGTTTTTGTGATAAATAGTTGCAGACAAAAAACTACGACAAAAGCTGGCTTAGATTATATGAATTATAGTAAAAAAGCAACTACATATAACAACAAACAAAATTTTCACACAGAAGGAAGAAGATACCAGCTTGAAAAAAATCAACGAAGATAATAAATACATTATAGTGATGTTTTTAACAAAACTAACAAGCTACAGTATTCTAAACTAGTTTTTACTACAAGAAATAAACTGCGATCCCGTTCCGATTAAAATATAAACTGGAAAACTTTCAAGGCTATAATCTATTTTGTTGAAAATACAATGAAAAACGCTGCCTGATCAAACAAAAAAACAAAAACGAAAAGCGAATAGTTGAACAAAAAAACTGAGTCACTAATTTCAAGTAATTACAAAATTTTAGAAAATGTTATCATTTGAGTCTAGAACATCCAGGCTTCCAAGTACTGTCTTCCAAACACTTAAGTTTACAATATTTAAGTACTCGATAGTTCAGCTTTAATTATAAATCTCTTGTTATCAATAAAACTTTTTGGGTTTTTCAAGATTGTTCAACCTATGAGTCTCTGAAAGTCCATCATGTTCATCATTGATGAAGCCTTTCAGCAAAATTCAAGGATGCACCAAATACTGACTTTTTACCTTGAAAATCGCTTATGTGTGGTACTTTGAACCGTCAACTCCGAACAATTCTTCTAGTGAGACCTACTCAGTTATGATTGTTCTATCTGAGGCAATTATCGAATTTGACTGAGTATGAGTAAAAGATGTAAGAATTGGTCAGAATTAAAAAAAAATTTCTGGATATACAACCAATACCTACATCTTTTAATACATTTAGTCAAATTCTATTATTGCATCAAATAGAGCAATCTAAACTAAGTAGATTTCACTTGAAGAATCGGTTGGAGTTGACAGTTTTAAGTACCGCACATAAGCGATCTTTAGGATGAAAAATCAGGCATTGGTGCATCCCTAAGGGAATTAATAAAACTAATGAGATGTGTTTCATATTATGAAGTAGACGAACAAAGATATCCTTGATTACTAGTTTCACATTGAAACGAAGTTATATAGTAATTATTATCAGAGATCATCATATTTTTTGTAGGTTTGTTTTCCATATAATTTACATAAGTAAATTATATTTGTTGATTATTTTACATGTCATATCATACTTGAAACCGGTACCGCACCTGCTGATTTGTCAGTTACCAATTCGGTCTGGTTGAACTTTTAAAACAGATCAGTTTTCACAGTCTGTTTTTATTAACTTAATAATTTCCATGGCTTTTATGATCAACACATATGAGCCTAGAAGTCTCTAACTGACAAATTTCTATTAGTTGTCAAAATCCTAGTCCTATACATTGAGATAATACGTTCTCATCATACAATGAACGCTGTGGGTCACACTGAATGAGTTACTTATGCTCATGAAAAGTTTGACAGATGCGAGAAGTTAATTCCGATCAAACTTAAAGATCTTTCATCTCAAAATTGCGAGCTCACTCTTTTGAACTATGAATAATGGACTCTCAAGGCAGGAGTTTTACTATTAAAAACTTTAAGAGTTATGGATTTTATACTGTATATCTTTGTACAACTGAAGTATTAGACTGTTTCTCGAAAGAACTACAGTCCACGACAAAAGTTTAAGTGAAATTGATTTTTCAGTATTTT